GCCCAATGGCGCTCATTAGCGTATTCATCACCTTAGCACCTGCTGGGTATTTCATGCGCACAGTATAATATTGTTGATTATGGTCTCCATACTGTACCAGGGCTCTCTGGAATGTATCCATATAAGTGAAACTTCGCACCTGTCACCCAAGTCTTTCTGTTCTTCCCCACACAGCCCCTGCCAGCCAACATTTCACTCTCTGCTTCTGTGCAGTATTGTTGAGTCTGCCTTATGCAACTTAGGGTTCATTTGTGTTATTGCAAATAGCAAGATTCCTACTTTTTTAAGTCCAAATAATATTCCACTGTTTGTATGCACATATATACATATATATATGTGTGTGTGTGTGTGTATGTATGTATGTATATGCATACCTATATACATAATACAAATAAATTGTGATGTATATATAATTGCACTAGCACAATTTTGTATCCATTTCTTCATGCATGTACCCATTTTTCAATGCATCACAATTTTTTCATCCATTTGTCTATTGAGAATAATGAAATGGGTTGTTTCCAAATGTGGACTCTTGCGAATGATGCTGCAAGTCTGTCCTTCCATTTTCTTGTGTAACTTCAGAGCATCTTACCTTACACTCCGTCTCAGAGGAAAAGTGTTCCATTTTTCTCATTGTTTATTGGGTTATGAGCTTTCCGTCTATGGCCCTTACTGATAAATTCTTTCCGCAACTATTTTCATGAGTGGTTTTATCTTTCGTGGACAGTGAATTTTATCAAATGCCTTATCTCAAACCCATGAGAGAACCAGGGACTTCAGATGAGGCTGTCATTCTGAGCTTTCTTTTTGTTAATGTTCTGTATTCAATTGATTTGTGCGTTTTGAGTCATTCTTACATCTCAGGGATAAAGACGTGGTCATGGTGTTTAGTCCCTTTAATGTACTATTCGGTCAGCTTTAATGCATTGGATTGAGAGTGAGTACATCTCTGCTTGTGTGAAATACTGGCCTCTAAATAGTTTTCTTTCCTTGTGGTAGCCTCTGGCTTTGTTATCAGGGTCCATGAGATTGGAAGTATTCCCACTTTTTCTAGGTTGGTTTTTGGGAGGCAGACATGGAGGGGATGCTTAGGAAGAATCAATATTAATTCTTCTTTGCACATCTGGTAACATTCACCCATGAAACCATATGGCCCATTGCAAAACAATGATGTACTTTTCAAGGGCACATAGGAAAAAAAATTAAACACCTTAGAAGAGTCATGGAGGGAGCGGAGCGATATGAGAGCGAAGAATGACCTATGTGGAGAAAAGGGGATATTGTTGTAAATGACAAACTTGGGTGTCTTGGTGGTAATAGTGTGTTAAGAACAAAGAGGTGGTCGGGCACCAGTGGCTCACGCCTGTCATCCTAGCTACTCAGGAGGCTGAGATCTGAGGATCACAGTTCAAAGCCAGCTGGGCAGGCTTCGCCCACTTCTCAGAACACAAACACAAGTACAGCAAAGTGACTGGCAACGTGCTTCTCCTTGGACGCCTGGACGGGGCTGGAGAACCCTCTCAGGGTGGACCACTTGCCCCGGGAAAACTCCATCGTCACACCCTCATGACAAACGCCTTCCTTTCATACAGCAATTGCGCCCTCTGCTGGAATTTGTGGTTTCTACTACTTTTTTTTTTTTTTTTTAAATTAAGAACGTGGGACTCCTAAATTCTCCAGTGTGTAAGGCGTTTCCAGAAGTGAGGGTGTTTGTGCTCTACGGCCCCCCTCCTGAAATTCAGAATGATTTAGAAAGGGCCCAGATTGGCATTTAAAGCCAAGCTGGGGCCAGGCACTGGTAGTTCATGCCTGTAATCACAGCTATTCAGGATGATGAGATCCAAGGATTAAAATTTGAAACCAGCCTGGGCAAGAAAATTCATGAGACTCTTATCGCCAATTAATTAGCAAAAAAAAAAAAAAAAAAAAAGCCAGAAGTGGAACTGTGGCTCAAGTGGTAGTATGCCCAGGCCCTGGATTCATTTCCCTGAGGTCCCAATCTGATATCAACAGAGCATAGGCCACTTCAGTTTTAGAGCCAGTTGGAACCAAATCTGCCTTAGTTACCAGAAAAGAAAGCCAGGTCATGGTTTACTGCTTTGTGGAGTTATGAAAGTGAACTGAGTTTATCTGAAGCATGGGAATAATGCCTAATCACCATTACAAGCAACACCAGGTTAATGATTATCTGCTGCGAGTACAGGCCAGTTCCATCATGAACCATCGATTTCCCTCTGGCATTTCTTCTGGAAGCAAATAAAGCTAACCTTGGAAGCTGCAGTTATCACAACTGGTTCCTCTGATTGCTGTCACAGGAGACCTCCAGTTTAGTGGGTTAAATTAGCATGCATTTATGGTCCTTCCATTCTGGAGGCCGCAAGTCTGACCACCACCTCTGGGGCTGAAACTGGGTCATTGATAAGCTCCTCCCCTAGTCTAAGGGAGAACCAGGCCTGTTGCCTGTCTCCGCCTGCAGAGGGCACCCACCAGCCACGTCTGCAGCCCCTCCTGGGTTCGGCTAACCTCTTCCAAGTCCAGGACCGTCTCCCCTATCCCAGGTCCCAGATGCAACCTTGGTTGGAGCTTTCTTTATGTAATTTAGGTAATTTAAGTAAAGAATATGTTCAGATGTACTTCTTACAGTATGGGAGAGAGACATAAACCAGCAATAATAATAATAATGAATAGAAATAAATATCCCCAAATGGGCAAATGACTAACATTATGATACACAACTGAATTGACTGTAACATAGCTATTTAAGAGGGTAATTAGAACCCAGCATGATGGCTCATAGCTGTAATCCCAGCAACCACAGAGGCGGGTATTATGTTTCAAGGGCAGTTAGGCAAAATGTTAAGACCTACCTCAACCATGGTGCTCAGCTCATTTTGCTTTAGTTACTTTTCAGGTATGGTTCAAGTGACAAGAGTACCTGCACTGCACAAGGTTCTGAGTTCAAGCCTCAGCATCCCAAAATGTATATATGGGGTACGAGTGGTGTATTATGAAGGTGGCTCAGCAACCTGGGAAAGGCGGGTGACATGACAGGAGAAGCAAAGGAGAGCAACTCTGAGAAATCTGTTGGCCTATAGGCAAACCCTGGAAAGCTAGGCAGAAATAAAGCTGGGAGGGGCTGAGGTACTAGCATTCATTTGTGTCTTTTTTCTAAGACTTTTCAAAACAGACATCTTTCAAGACAATTGTCCAGGCCACAGGCCACAGGTCTGAACCTTGGGTCCTAAGCTAGAAGGCTGAATCTTGAGCAGCTGCCTGGGCACTGTGACCTGTGACCCCGGACACCTGACCCAGGTGGATCCACCAATCAGGAGCTCTGCGCTGAGTCTTTGAAACCACTACTGGGGTGGAATTTTTCTTTATGTCATAATTATTCTAATGTAAAATGCCTCCTTTTAAAATATGAGGGTAGAACCCATCCAGTGGTTCAGTGTCACATAATCTCCACCCCCAATAACCCAAAGCCATCAGCAGGCACACCCGGACCCCACCCAGCCCCTAGCAACTCATAATTGACTTCCTATCTCTGTGAACTTATTTATTCCATAGTTTACTCATTCTGTAAGTTCACAGAAGTGGAATTTTACAGCCTGTGGCTTCTTGTGGCTGGCTTCACCTGTCATATCATATTTTCAAGATTAATCTGTGCCATAACAAATACAGATGCTTCACCAGTGTTTATGGCCAAATAATATTCCACTTTAAGGACAGAGCACATGGGATTCATCTGTGCAGAGATACAGTATTATGAGGTCACTGCAACACATGTGCACAAGGTTTTGTGTGAGCATACGTTCACAATCCTCTCAAGTAAATGACTGAGCCAGACGGAAGGTCTGCCCTTAGCCCTCTGAGGTACCGAGTTATTTCCAGGGTGGCTACCTCAGTTGCTATTCCCACCATCAGTGTGCAGGGGTCCCGACGCCCCCACCAACACTCATTCTCCTGTAGTTATTATTATGGCTATTCAGAGCAGATGTGAAGTGTGGCAGTAATGTGGCTTTGACTTGCATGTGTTTATTGGTCATGTATGTGTCGAGAAATGTGTGTGTAAATTCTCCATCCATTTTTTATTGTCTTTTTGTGTGTGACTTGGAGGAACTTTTTGTATAGTGCAGACACTGGAGAAGCGACTTGTGAATGCCTTCTATTCTTTGGGTTATCTTTTTTTTTTTTCCTTTTTACCCCCCATCAATATGAGGGCTTGAACTCAAGGCCCTGCTGCTTTCGCCTGGCTTTTCTGCTCAAGGCTGAGGTTGCACATTTGAGCCACGCCTCCACTTTCTACTGTCCGTTTTTGGTCGAATCTCCGCTCTGACTTCCACAGTGGTGGGTGGCACTGGTGTACATTCCCACCAGCGCGGGGTGAGGGGCCTTTTCCTGGCATCCTGACTGGTCGGATGGAAGCTGCTCCCCATGGGGGCAGGCCCCTTCATTTTCCACTTGATGGCCAGGCTGGGCCGGGCCTGGCCGTTAGGCCATCTGCTAGTGACGGCGGGTCAGGAAAGGAGGTGCGGGCGGGAACTCGGGCCCTGGGGAGGGGTGGGTGTCCTGCACCCGGGGCCCAGGGCAGCGCCAAACCAACCTGCCAGGCCTGAGCGCTGAGCGTGCGCACCGGGCGGTCTCTGGGGTCTCGCTTGCAGAGCCAAGCAATCTGCACAGAGAGCGGCTCCTGCTACCCCGGGAGGCGGGGGAAGCCCTGGATCTGGAGAGGCGCAGGTGCAGGGGAGAAAGGAAGAGGCCCGGAGCGCAGGGGTCAGGACGAGCGCCAGGCGAGGACGGGCCCGGCCCGGCAGCTCCGCCCGGGGACCTTTGGCTGCACTTGGCCGCAGGCCGACCCGCTGGGCCCGCCCCGCCTAGCGGACCCTCCCTCTGATTGGCCGCTGCCATGCCCGTCCTCCAGGCTCGGCCAATAGCGCCGGCGCGCGCCGGAAGCTGGAACCGGAAGTGCGATGCCGGGCAACGGGGCCGCCGGGCTGGCCCCTCCGCAGCTCAAGCCCGGTGCCATGCGAGGCCTCGGGCCAGGCCTGGCGGCGCGGCGCCTCCTCCCGCTGCGCTTCCCCCCGAGGCCGCCGCGGCCCCCGGGGCCCCGGCTGTACAGCGGGCCTCCGGCGGCGGCGGCGGCCGGCGCCTCGGAGCGGGCCATGGAGGAGCTGCTGCGCCGCGCCGTGCCGCCGACGCCGACCTACGAGCTGCGCGAGAAGACGCCGGCGCCCGCCGAGGCGCAGTGCGCCGACTTCGTGAGCTTCTACGGCGGCCTGGCCGAGCTGGGCCCGCGGGCCGAGCTGCTCGCCCGCCTGGCGCAGGGCTTCGGCGTGGACCACGGCCAGGTGGCCGAGCAGAGCGCCGGGCTGCTCCAGCTGCGCCAGCAGCCGCGCGAGGCGGCCGCGCTGCTGCAGGCCGAGGACCGGCTGCGCCACGCGCTCGTGCCGCGCTACCGCGGCCTCTTCCGCCTCATCGGCCGGCTGGACGGCGGCGCGCGCTTCCTGGTGCGGCTGCGCGCGGACCTGCTGGAGGCGCAGGCGCTCAAGCTGGTGGAGGGGCCGCACGTCCGGGTAAGGCCCCGCCCGGGCCGCCCCGACCCCGGCGCCCGGGCCGCCCCGGCCCCGCGCCCCGCGCCCGCCTCCCCTCCCGCATTCCCGCTCCCTCCCGTGCGTGCCCTACTAAGTGGTAGTAGTAGCCCCTGGTCCACGCCTGGTCCCTGACTCCTGCAGGCCTGTGATGCCTGTCGCGATCATTATTGTTATTATTGTTTTCCCCAAGGCTGTACTCAGATACGGAATGGAGCGGCAGGCAGCTCTGCCCACGCGCAGGCTGTCAGCAGAATTTAACTGGGCAGCAGCTGTGCGTGAGACATGGTCTTTTAAAATCCGAGAGATGCACCAAAAGGGCGGGATCGCAGGCCGCCACCGTCCGGAATACCACGCTTCCCCTCCCCTCTCCTGCGGTTGAACTAACCCGCCCGGCCTGACAGTGATGAGTCAAAGTTCACCCTGGCCTGTGTGAAGGTGCCGGGGTTTGAACGCTGGCCTCCCACTCTCTCTTAGCTTTTCTGCTCAAGGCTAGAACTCCACCGCAGGAGTCACAGATCCAAGGCTTGCTTTTTGCTGATTACTTGGAGGTCAGTGTCTCAACGACTTTCCTGCCCGTCTCAGCCTACTGAGTAGCTAGAATTACAGGCATGAGCCATTGGCACCTGGATTAAGGTCACTTCCTGAGGTAGTTAGGTGCCTGGCCCAGTGGGTTCATGTTAGATGCAGACAGACTTTGAGAGTTAAGATAGTATAGCCTGAAAATTGGCTGGTGCTGTTAGTAATTATTTTGGAGCAGCAGGATCCTGTCCTTTTTGTGAGTAGAAAGTGATGTAAACGTTGCAAACCTTGCAACATTAAAAACTTGGATAATGTGCTTTAAGAAAAGGAGCAGTTGAGTGGCTGGGAAGGCAGCTTAGTGGTAGAATGCTTGCCTCGCATGCATGAGGCCCTGGGATCGATTCCTCAGCACCAAATTAGCAGAAAAGGCCAGAATTGGCGCTGTGGCTCAAGTGGTAGAGTGCTAGCCCTGAGGTGAAGAGCTGAGGGACAGCACTGAGGCCCAGAGCTCAGTCGCCACGACTGACAAAAGGAAAGAAAAGGAGCCGTTGAAAGATTATTTGCTAAGTCAATTCAGAACTCTTTTAAGTGGCATAACAGGTTTTACTTTCACGTGAATCCTGAAGTTGTGTGACTTGCCCCAGACCTCAGAGCACATGCCATAGGTATGAGATTCCTTGCATGGATTATCTGTTGTGCTGTGAGCTAACAGTGTCTATCGAGCTTTCTTGACCCTTAGCCTTAGATGCCCAGACTTTGAGTGTGGTTAGGGTTAGGGTTCACCTCAGTGACAACAATGCCTCAGACTTGATTGGTTAGCTGGTTCCCCTATAAAGCTGCTACGTAGGGCCACCATCCTTTGAGAACAACTTATACTGTGCATCACCCAGTCAAACAGCCAGTCACAGAAGCTCAGTCTGCGGGGCTCAGCTTTGCTTGGTTCCTCACACTGCACGCTGCTGCTAGTTAACCGGTGAGAGCAGCCCTGCCATAAATTCTCTGTATAGCAAAATGATGAACAAGTCATTGAGAGACTCGTGGGTGCCCAGGGGTGAGAGAAACAGTTCCTTGACACCCCAAGTTCAGATTGCCTTAGACTGCCCCAGGGTCCCAGGCCTTGGAAAAAAGCAAAGAAGGGCCAGTAGACTTCCCTGGACCCAGAGGTTCATGCTAGCTCATCTGGACCTCAGTGGTTCCTTACCTCCCCTTCTGAACTCTTCAGTTCTGTAAGGTGTTTCAAAATGCTTCTCCCAGGAGAGATGCTCATGGTTGCCACACAATCTACAGTGTAAGGACATCATGGCCGTGACCTTCGGGGAGAAGCTGGTTTCTGGAAATCCAGAGAAGCCAAGTGCTGAGTCCTTAAGACTTTTTGTTTTAACCTTGCTCCCTCCATGTTTAGGCTTGCACACAGGCCAGAAGCCAGGAGAAGCCGAGGAATTGGTCAACAGAGTGAGTAAGGACAGCCTGGCCTTTACCCCTCCACAAAGACTGAGAAACGAGTTGCTCGGTCATTGCCTCTTCCGTTCCCGCACCTGGGGTCCTAGCCTGATCTCCAGGGCCTCTGCTGTAGAGGACAGTGCTGTTCATTGCTTTCTCCCTTGCTTTGTAATAGTTACATAACATTATACCATTGCTGTCATTTCCAAGCAGCGTTGGCTGTTGTCTTACGCCTATAACCCTAGGTACCCAGGAGACTGAGATTCAGAGGCTGCTCTCAAGGTCCTGAGTTCAGACCTCAGTAGCAATCCCACCCAAAAAAAGTCTCTGTTACTTATATCATTCTTAGGATGGAGTTTTTTTCATAGATTTTGTCAGCTGGGCTCTGAGGTTGCCATCTATTGCCAGAATTACACAGTGTGAACAGTGTGTACTGTGTTTTTTAGAGCAGCTTCAGGGTCACTCAAAAAATGAGCAGATGGTGCAGATTCTCCAAATCTGTGCTGCACTCCACACACAGCCTTCCTGCTAGAGCGGCAAGATCCCACAGTGTGGCATAGGCCGCCTTCCTAGCAGACACCAGCAGTTTTGGCGTACAATCTATTTTTATTATTTCTTTTAGGCTTTTGGCGTTTTGCGTCCGTGTTCAAGAGGCCCCTCAGAACATCATCTGTGAACTCAGCCTTAGGAAGCACTAGTTTGACATACAGGCTTAAAAGCAGGACCTCCAGTCCCAGGGGTTCCCCCACATGCTGAGCACCCTCCCCAGGGAGCAGTCCTCTAGCTCCTGATGGTGGCACCCCGCCCCACTCTCCAGCCTGCTACCGCCTAGCCCTGGTTGACCTTTGGACTGGTTAGGTTCCGGCTCCCCTGGCTAGGTGCTGGGCCTGTCCCTACGGTGGCTTCAGGGTGCTGCGGGCCTGCCACCACCCTTGGTGACGGATTCCCGGGTGGGGCATTTGCTCCAGAGTGAGTGCCAGATGTTTGACCAAGACAAGGCTGACTGCGGCCCTCCCCCAGCCAAGTGGGGGAGCAGGTCTGCTTCCAGTCCATTCTTGTCCCTTCTTGCCACTGGCACTTAGCTCCCCTGCATCCTTCAGTGTTTATTGAGGTGAGCAGCAAGGTGCAGTTGGTGGTGAGAGCGAGGTCAGCCTGATCTCCAAGGACTGCCCAGGGTCTTTTTTGGTGTTTTTGGTACTGGGGATGGAACCCAGGACGTCGTACCTGCCAGGCAAGTGCTTTGCCCCTGAGCTGCATCCCCGCCCTTGGGGTCTTACTGGAGCTTTGCACATGGTGAACTGCAGCGGGCCTGGGTCCTGACCCCTCGCCAACAGCTGTGATGATTGGAAATTACGAGTGGGAGACGGCTTCTCCTTGTGAGCGCAGCGGGACCAAGGGCAGCAGGCTAGGCTGGGGTTTATTTCCTCAGATGTCCGAAACCAGACAAAGCTTTTCTTTCCTTCGGAGGTTTTCGTTCCCTTTCGCTGTAAAGTTCAGTATTGGACCAGATACAGCTAGGCAGCCTCTCTGGGTGGCCCTGGGCCTGTACAGTCAAGGTCCCTAGGCAGGCCAGCAAATTCTGTGCTTTGCCACACTAAACAGAGTCTTAGGTTCACATAGGAGAGTATACCGTGGTGTTTGTGCACCGTTTATACACATGGAGGTGGTAGCATGAAATTGTTCCCCGGATCCCAGTCCCTGCGGCATTTCCCTTACTACCAGCTTCCACTCCCTCCCCAGCCCAGGACTTGTGAGCAAACAGTAACCTCACATACCCAAAGCACAGCTCCAGAGCCAGGAACTTCAGGAAAGGAAAAGTGGGCTGGTCTTCTAACAGTGTCCTGTGGGTGAAGGAGGGGGGAATGGAGGCTGGAACGAACAGCACAGAGCAAACAGAGTAAGGCTGCCTTCACCAGCAGACGCCCCAGCCCTTGTACTTTTCAGCCTGTTCTGTGCTCACTGATTGCTGAGTTCATGAGGGCTGAACAGAGAATGTGTCCTCCCCGCTCTGCATCAAGCGGAGGAGATTCCCTTCTTGCCTGTCCTTAGTGACCATTGGCAGTTCGTTCAGCCTGAACAGCTGTGGTGGGTGTTGGAGCTAGCAGTGACTTCTCACCCTTAACCTAGATTGCTGGCTCTCCTGTCCAGCATCACATGTCACTGCTGTCAGCAGCCCCAGAATAGATAGAGATGTTAGTGGAGAAGCTTCGTCAGGCAGACCTTGTCCTTGCTCGTTAGTACCCAGCCAGTATTTCCCATGTTTTCCTACTGTGGATGTAATAAACGCACACCTCACGCTGCAGCCAGCCACTGTGCCTAAGCACTCAGTTCAGAAGGGCCTCACCTGGGAATTGGGGGTGGGGGACGTACTCTGTTTATATTTTTCAGGGGGAGGGCCCGTGGTGGTGAGCACATTGTGAGGGTTAACCATTCTAGTCAAGTGCAAAGTGGGCAGGTGTGAAACGAGCCTTCTGTATCACCCAGCAGTGGTATCTACTCAGCCTGCTACTCCCCAGTGACCAGTCTCTCCACACCTTGTATCTCTTCTACTGAGTGTCACATATGAGTGAACACAGTTGTAGAGATGAGTTGGAAATGGACTTTGCCCATTTACTTACTAATAAATTAGTAAAGGAGGGTTTGTTACAGAATCTGGAGTTAAACAACTGTCCAGCTGTGCTATGTCATCTAAGACAGCCCCCAGATTCCTGCCTGCCGCCCTCCCCACCTGAGACCCACCAGGGGCTAATGATGCGTGCAGCAGCCCTGGCCCTGGCTCCTGCCAGTTAGGCTGGGTTTGTACTTGACGCCCCCTCTGTGCTTCACTGCAGAAAGGTGGAGGCGACAGCCTTCTGAGAAGTGAGCCACTGACCCTCACTGCAACTTGTAGTCAGGTGCCGAGGCCCCTCCTGACAGCAACTAAATGTGAAATGGTCATGCTCAGTTTTTACAGTGATTATAAAGCTGCGCTTTACAGCTGATAACCTTTTGTGTTCTTAGGAACCTCGTACAAAGGCTAATAATATCTCTTCCTATGTAGTTTTCTGTAAGTAACAGAGATGCAAATAACAGTGCTTTGACAGAGAAGTCTCACAGCTCAGCATCGGGGGACAGCCCAGTACCAATTGTGCTCTCTATTGTCCTCAGTGGACCCAGATTTGGGTCTCGTTGCTCTTCCTGGAAAAGCTATCTTACCTCATCTTACAGTGTATTAGGCTCAGGCAACTCGGTTCAAAATGAATATTCCTCTTGAGGTGTCTGTAGGCCAAATCTAGTTTGGTCCCTGGCCACCGGGTGTGGAGGGGCCACCCTGGCCTTGAGCCCCAGGGGCTTGGATGCAGACGTTTACTAATGTGTAAGCCTGAGATGGCTGCTTGGTACAGCCCGCCAGGGAAAAACCTGAGAACGGAGCAGGCAAAGGGTTCTCCATAGTGGCTGCTGAGCATCTGTGCCTGCTGGCTCCTTCACCACAGCCGGCACATGGCTGCCCCAGGCCAGCACAGTCCTCCCTGTGAACAGCTGTGTGCCTGGCTGAACAGCAAGACTAGGGAGCTGGAAGCGCCCTTGTACCCCTAGGCCACAGTGGAGGCGGCCCTGCGCAGCGCCCTGTTCTGCCACACAGCTCAGTTGGCTCTGTCTCATGTGTCTTGCTCTGTTCTTGCGTGGAAGGTTTCAGGGCAAATGGGTCTTTAGTAGAACCGATAGCAGAATCAGGAAAAGTTCCCCAGATCTGCTGCACTGGTGTTTTCTGGCCTACTAAAGCAGATTAGAGTGCCGTACTTGAGCTGTGCCCCAGCAGCAGTTGTGAAGGTCAGCAACTAGAACTGGAGCAAACACTTCTGTTGACAAATGTAGAAATAAGGGTTTATTTACTACACCAAGAGCATTCCAGAGAGAATGCAGGGGTGTGGGGCCCTGCACAGTCCGTTAGTTTTACCCTAAGATGTAGCTGTCATTGTCACATGAAGCTGATGTATTTAGTAATTTTTTCAACAGGTGGGTGCTTAGTTCAGTCTACAGGTATCTGTGGACTGAAGCAGTAAAGTCCAAGTAGAGAGAGAGCTGAGTTTCAGCCAGATGTGGCTTGAGGTAAATTTGCCATGGAGGCCTCACAACAAGCTGCCGCAGCCTTTCGGTCTTGAGTCTTCTGATCTTCTGTGCCCTTGCTCTCTGCAGGAGATGAGTGGGGTGCTGAAAGCCATGCTGTCAGAGTGGTTTTCTTCAGGCTTCCTGAACCTCGAAAGGGTCACCTGGCATTCACCCTGCGAAGTGCTTCAGAAGATCAGCGAGTAAGTGTGCAGATTGCCCTGTCCCTGGGACCGGAAGCCAGTGTCCATTCAGATGGCATCTCGTTTCAAGTCACAGCCTGGGTCTCCCTAGGATGTCATGACAGGGGCATGGCCCAGAGGACACTCAGTCTCACATCCTCCCACGTAAACCAGATCAGCCCCCTTGTGGCTTCCCAAGGCTCACTGCAACAGAGTGTCACCAGACCAAGCTTCTGTGTTAGTAATCAAAACATATATCTTACCACTTGTGAAATGATCTCTGCACTACTGTGGGCACAGTTAGGACACAGTCTACCACAGGCATGCACATCCTGACCACAGTCACGTCCTGTGGAACCACATGACAGTGCCTGCTGGCCTCCCCCACACTGGGGAAGCAGAACACTAGTCCAGTGGGGCTGAGCAGTGGCCGGTGGGGCTGAGCAGTGATGGGTGGGGCTGAGCAGTGATGGGTGGGGCTAAGCAGTGGAGGTGGGGCTGAGCAGTGGAGGTGGGGCTGAGCAGTGCAGGGTGAGGCTGAGCAGTGGAGGTGAGGCTGAGCAGTAGAGGTGAGGCTGAGCAGTGGAGGTGGGGCTGAGCAGTGATGGGTGAGGCTGAGCAGTGATGGGTGGGGCTGAGCAGTGGAGGTGAGGCTGAGCAGTGATGGGTGGGGCTGAGCAGTGATGGGTGGGGCTGAGCAGTGGAGGTGGGGCTGAGCATTGGAGGTGAGGCTGAGCAGTGGGAGTGGGGCTGAGCAGTGGAGGTGGGGCTGAGCAGTGGAGGTGGGGCTGAGCAGTGGAGGTGGGGCTGAGCAGTGGAGGTGGGGCTGAGCAGTGGAGGTGGGGATGAGCAGTGGAGGGTGAGGCTGAGCAGTGATGGGTGGGGCTGAGCAGTGGAGGTGAGGCTGAGCAGTGGAGGGTGAGGCTGAGCAGTGATGGGTGGGGCTGAGCAGTGGAGGTGGGGCTGAGCAGTGCAGGGTGAGGCTGAGCAGTGGAGGTGGGGCTGAGCAGTGGAGGTGGGGCTGAGCAGTGGAGGTGAGGCTGAGCAGTGGAGGGTGGGGCTGAGCAGTGGGGTTGGGGCTGAGCAGTGGAGGTGAGGCTGAGCAGTGGAGGGTGGGGCTGAGCAGTGGAGGTGGGGCTGAGCAGTGGAGGTGAGGCTGAGCAGTGGAGGTGAGGCTGAGCAGTGATGGGTGAGGCTGAGCAGTGGAGGTGAGGCTGAGCAGTGGAGGTGGGGGTGAGCAGTGGAGGGTGGGGCTGAGCAGTGGAGGTGGGGCTGAGCAGTGATGGGTGAGTCTGAGCAGTGGAGGTGGGGCTGAGCAGTGGAGGTGGGGCTGAGCAGTGGGGTTGGGGCTGAGCAGTGGAGGTGGGGCTGAGCAGTGGAGGTGGGGCTGAGCAGTGGAGGTGAGGCTGAGCAGTGGAGGGTGGGGCTGAGCAGTGGGGTTGGGGCTGAGCAGTGGAGGTGAGGCTGAGCAGTGGAGGTGGGGCTGAGCAGTGGAGGTGGGGCTGAGCAGTGGAGGGTGAGGCTGAGCAGTGGAGGTGGGGCTGAGCAGTGGAGGTGGGGCTGAGCAGTGGAGGTGAGGCTCTGCAGTGGAGGGTGGGGCTGAGCAGTGGAGGTGGGGCTGAGCAGTGGAGGTGGGGCTGAGCAGTGGAGGTGGGGCTGAGCAGTGGAGGTGAGGCTCTGCAGTGGAGGGTGGGGCTGAGCAGTGGAGGTGGGGCTGAGCAGTGGAGGTGGGGCTGAGCAGTGATGGGTGGGGCTGAGCAGTGATGGGTGAGGCTGAGCAGTGGAGGTGAGGCTGAGCAGTGATGGGTGGGGCTGAGCAGTGGGAGTGGGGCTGAGCAGTGGAGGTGGGGCTGAGCAGTGGAGGTGGGGCTGAGCAGTGGAGGTGAGGCTGAGCAGTGGAGGTGGGGCTGAGCAGTGATAGGTGGGGCTGAGCAGTGGAGGTGAGGCTGAGCAGTGGAGGTGAGGCTGAGCAGTGATGGGTGAGTCTGAGCAGTGGAGGTTGGGGCTGAGCAGTGGAGGTGGGGCTGAGCAGTGGAGGTTGGGGCTGAGCAGTGGAGGTGGGGCTGAGCAGTGGAGGTGGGGCTGAGCAGTGGAGGTGGGGCTGAGCAGTGATGGTTGGGGCTGAGCAGTGGAGGTGGGGCTGAGCAGTGGAGGTGGGGCTGAGCAGTGGAGGTGGGGCTGAGCAGTGGAGGTTGGGGCTGAGCAGTGGAGGTGGGGCTGAGCAGTGGAGGTGGGGCTGAGCAGTGGAGGTGAGGCTGAGCAGTGGAGGTGGGGCTGAGCAGTGATAGGTGGGGCTGAGCAGTGGAGGTGAGGCTGAGCAGTGGAGGTGAGGCTGAGCAGTGATGGGTGAGTCTGAGCAGTGGAGGTTGGGGCTGAGCAGTGGAGGTGGGGCTGAGCAGTGGAGGTGAGGCTGAGCAGTGGAGGTGAGGCTGAGCAGTGGAGGTGAGGCTGAGCAGTGATGGGTGAGTCTGAGCAGTGGAGGTTGGGGCTGAGCAGTGGAGGTGGGGCTGAGCAGTGGAGGTGGGGCTGAGCAGTGGAGGTTGGGGCTGAGCAGTGGAGGTGGGGCTGAGCAGTGGAGGGTGAGGCTGAGCAGTGGAGGTGGGGCTGAGCAGTGGAGGTGAGGCTGAGCAGTGGAGGTGGGGCTGAGCAGTGGAGGGTGGGGCTGAGCAGTGGAGGTGGGGCTGAGCAGTGGAGGTGGGGCTGAGCAGTGGTGGTGAGGCTGAGCAGTGGAGGTGGGGCTGAGCAGTGGAGGTGAGGCTGAGCAGTGGAGGGTGGGGCTGAGCAGTGGGAGTGGGGCTGAGCAGTGATGGGTGGGGCTGAGCAGTGATGGGTGGGGCTCAGCAGTGGAGGTGAGGCTGAGCAGTGGAGGTGGGGCTGAGCAGTGATGGTTGGGGCTGAGCAGTGGAGGTGGGGCTGAGCAGTGGAGGTGGGGCTGAGCAGTGGAGGTGGGGCTGAGCAGTGGAGGTGGGGCTGAGCAGTGGGGGTGGGGCTGAGCAGTGATGGGTGGGGCTGAGCAGTGATGGGTGGGGCTGAGCAGTGGAGGTGAGGCTGAGCAGTGATGGGTGGGGCTGAGCAGTGGAGGTGGGGCTGAGCAGTGATGGGTGGGGCTGAGCAGTGGAGGTGGGGCTGAGCAGTGGAGGTGAGGCTGAGCAGTGGGGGTGAGGCTGAGCAGTGATGGGTGGGGCTGAGCAGTGGGGTTGGGGCTGAGCAGTGATGGGTGAGGCTGAGCAGTGGAGGTGAGGCTGAGCAGTGATGGGTGGGGCTGAGCAGTGATGGGTGGGGCTGAGCAGTGATGGGTGGGGCTGAGCAGTGATGGGTGAGGCTGAGCAGTGGAGGTGAGGCTGAGCAGTGATGGGTGGGGCTGAGCAGTGGAGGTGAGGCTGAGCAGTGGAGGTGGGGCTGAGCAGTGGAGGTGGGGCTGAGCAGTGATGGGTGAGTCTGAGCAGTGGGGTTGGGGCTGAGCAGTGGGGGTGGGGCTGAGCAGTGGAGGTGAGGCTGAGCAGTGATGGGTGGGGCTGAGCAGTGGAGGTGAGGCTGAGCAGTGGAGGTGGGGCTGAGCAGTGGAGGTGGGGCTGAGCAGTGATGGGTGAGTCTGAGCAGTGGGGTTGGGGCTGAGCAGTGGGGGTGGGGCTGAGCAGTGGAGGTGAGTAGGGCAAGGCGGCCTAAGGAACCATGTTGAATGTCACAGCATGAACAGCGCATTCCCACCACGGGCGTCCACAGTCAAGCTGGGTGTCCAGCAACAGCATCGAGTAGCTTTGTGTGTTGAAACAAGTGTTGGGAGTAAGAATGCCAATTTCTTTGTAAAACGTCCGTAACTATAGCTTTTCTCATCAATGCTGTTTCGCTCAAAAGTCGTTTTTAGCCAGGTGCCAGTGGCTCACACCTATAATCCTTCTTCTTAAGAGGCTAAGATCTGAGGATCATGATTCAAAGCACTTTCCTGGGCAAGAAAGTCTGTGAGACTCTTACATCAAATAAACTACACAAAAAGCCAGAAGTAGAGCTCGGGCTGAAGTGGTAGAATGCTCTCCTTGAGCCAAAGCAGTTCAGGGACTGTGCCCAGGCCCCGCATTCAACATTAAAAAAAAAAAAGTATTTTCTTTGACTTTTCCTGGTGAGTCAGTGAAAGCTGTATTGAAAGGTGTACTGGCTGTAACGGGTACCACGCATAGGGAGGAGCAATTGTTACTTCACTTGTAATACCTGTTTGTCTCTATCCCAATGCTTTCCTCCTCAGGGCCGAGGCCGTGCATCCAGTGAAAAACTGGTTGGATATGAAGCGCCGTGTGGGGCCCTATAGGAGGTGTTACTTCTCTTCTCACTGCTCCACCCCTGGCGACCCCCTGATTGTTTTGTATGTGGCACTGACCAGTGACATCACCAACAACATCCAGGTACCTACAGCTAGCCACTTCAGGCAGGATAGGCATCCTATTATATGCATGCGTGTGCCTCGGTTTTCTATTCTTAAAATAAATTTCTTGGGGCTGCAAAGGTGGCTCAGTGGTAGAGCGCTTGCCTTGCATGCCCAAGGTCCTGGGTTCGATTCCTCAGCACCACATAAGCAAAAAGAAAAAAGCCGGAAATGGCGCTGTGGCTCAAGAGGTAGAGCACTAGCCTTGAGCTGAAGAGCTGAGGGACAGCGCCCAGGCCCAGAGTTCAGGCCCCACGATAGGACCCAAAAAATAAAAATAAATTTCTTTGAGCAGAGCCCCAAGGGCTCATGCCTGTCCTGTAATCCTACCTACTCAGGAGGCTGAGAGCTGAGGATTATCTGGTCAAGAAAGACCATGAGACTCATCTCCTGTTAACTAACATAAAGCAAAAAGTGCAACTGTGGCGCAAGGGTAGAATGCTAGCCTTGAACAGAAAAAGCTCAGGGATAGCACTCAGGCTCTGAGTTCAAGCCCCAGGACTAGCACAAAAATAAGTGAATAGCCGGGCACTGGTGGCTCATGCCTGTAATCCTAGCTACTCAGGAGGCTGAGATCTGAGGATCATGGTTCAAAGCCAGCCTGGGCAGGAAAGTCTTATCTCCAATAAACCACTAGAAAACCGGAAGTGGCGCTGTGGCTCAGGCGGTAGAGTGCTTGCCTTGAGCTGAAGAGCGCAGGAACAGTGCCCAGGCCCAGAGTTCAGGCCCCACAACCGACCAAAAAAAAAAGTTAATAAATAATTCCTTTGAATTTTAGTGGACTTTGTGATTGGGTAAATAAAATCAGCAAACATGTAGCATGCCCAGATACAGACAGGCAAGCAGGAGAGCATTCACTGTCTCTGTAAACTGAGTTGAGACAGGTTGAGGTTTGTCCCAGGACATTACTGTGAGGCAGGAAACGGTTGTTGTAGAAGAAGGGATGGCAGGATGGATGCAAGGTTTAGCTGTCCAGCATTAGTTGTCCAGTGTGATTGAGAAATTTAGGAAGTGGAGCTGTGGCTCAGAAGTGGTAGAATACTAGTCTTGAGTGAAAAAGCCAAGGGAGTGCAAAGCCCTAAGTTCGAGGCCCAAGACTCTCTCACACACACATACGCACACACAAATTCAAAGGTAGACTTAGAACCACGTTTCTGCTGTGGGCCAGGTGTTGCTGGTCAGGTGGAGGTTGTGACGCGGGCTGGCTGGTCCCTTGCTGTGGTGAATTGGTCTAGAGCCACTTGGCAGGAAGATCTGATACGTGGTACAGCCAGCTGGTGATCTAGAGTCTGGAAACAGGAGCACAGCAGGGTGCTGACGTTGTTGTTTACTATCTTTTATTAGCATACAGGGGGGTTTCATTCTGACATCTCCATCAATTTGGAGAGTGTATCCCCATTAGCCTCTCCTTTTAGTATAATGGCAAATGCTTTCCACCATGGGCTTTCTAAGCTTGACCCATCTCCACATCACGAGCTCCCCTTCCATCCACTTTGCTGAAGATGACAGGATTTCCTTTTTCTAGTTGGCTGAGTAATATGCGTGGCATGTATGTGCCGTGTCTTCTTTCATTCTCCCATGGCTGGTCCCTTAGCTGATTCTGCTGTTTGGCTATGGTGAATGAAGCTGTACAAGCATGGGCATGCCAGTGTCTTTCTTGTGTATTGATTTATAGTGCTTCACATGCCCAGAGTAGCATGTCAGGGTCATAAGGTCATCTTTGTAGTTAAGGAACCTCCATATTGATTTCCATAGTGGTTGACTCATTTACATTCCCAACAACACCATATGAGGCTTTATATCTATCAGCCGTTTATATTTCTTCTGAGGACTGTCTGCTCATTTGCCCGTTAATTGGGCTGTTTACTGTTGAATTTTTGTGTGTTCTAAATGTTAACTCATTGTCCATTGGCTAGCTGGTGAAGATGTCCTTTCATTCTGTAACTGTTTTGCTGTGCAGGAGCTTTTCCGGAGAGGAGGTTTTGGTGGAGGGAAGGCAAGCTAGGGAGGTGAGGCCTTGATCTGGCCCAAGGACACAGCGTCAGGTGTGTGGGGTCAGCAGAGGCCACTGGGAAGGTGAGTGGATGAGAAGGTTGCACACAAGGCAGGCCCTGGCCTGGGTTTCCTCAGGAATTGATGAGGGCAAGTGAGCAGGTATTGTTAGCACCGGGAGGAAACTTGCTGGTTTCTCTGTGTGGAGGAGTTGTTAGGCCACGGGCGTCATGGGACTGGAAATTCCTCTCTGAGGGCTTTGGCAGCGGGTGTCAGTACAGAATGCACACCTAGGCCTAGAGGAGTCACCCCTGAGGGCCTGCGCTGGGGGAGTCTGAGAGTCCAGGTGGGCACTGGTGCTGGGCCGTCTGCAGCTACCCGTCGTAGAGCATGCTAGAAAACGTCTAATTGCACACGCACTGGGCTGCTGCTGTGTATTTAAGGATTGGGGTGAGTTTACACTTACTGTTGAGCAGCAGCTCTATGTCCGCAGTCCACACCTGTATAGCATCAAAACAGCAGCTTAGGTGTTCTGGCCTCAATTTAGACATATGAGAGCCGAGGCCTAGTGGAGCATCAGTCCTGTGCCAATGTGGTAGAACAAGTAAGGATTCGAACACAGCCCACATCCTGACCAGCCCCACCCGGATCAGAGGTAGCTGCAGGCAGTGAGGTCTGATCTTCACGTGCAGGCCGACACATCTGCTTCCACATGCCTCTGTGCCACCCTTGTCAAGTGGCCGCCAGAGCATGAGGGCTGAAAGACCTGCAGCCCGTGGGGGGGCTCCCTGAGTGGCTCTCCAGCCTGAGTCATTTCTTAGATGGCTTGAAGTCTGTGTCCCTGTGATGATGTGTTTTCACTTAGGAAAAACAGATTATTGGCATGAAATCAAAAGGCACTTAGAAAAGCCATACAAAGGTAGATTTTGAAAAAGAAAAATGACTGTATGGCCTGCTGAGAAGTCTGAGAAACAGTTCAGAGAGGAGTGAAAGTCACTAACGGGCAGAAAACCAGGCCTTTGAAGAAAAGGAAAAAAAAAAAAAATCTAAAGAAATTACGTGTCGCCAATTTGCCTTGACAAAGGCTCGGCACGGTGTGCCAGTGCTACAAGGACGGATGACACAAGCTACAGTTCGCAGGACGGCCTGAAAAAGACAAAAAGAGGCATTAGTTACTGCTCGAGCTTGCTCAGGGGTCTCAAAGCAGTGAAAAGTGACACTGCGCCAAGCCCGCCGCAGGGGACCTTGCAGAATCGCCACCTCCAAATGCAGAGCAGCATTTGCACGGGCCCCCACTTCCTTGAGCGCTGCCCTTGAACCTGGAGGGGTGGTGGTGAGGGGTGAGGGCCACAGGCCGCCAGGTCACCATGTCTGTGGTTTCCAGGCCATCGTAAAGGACTGCCCTCTGTCGGAGACAGAGGAGAAGAACAAGATTGCTGCGGCCATCTTCTACTCCATCAGCCTGATCCAGCAGGGACTGCAGGGCGTGGAGCTGGGAACGTTCCTCATAAAGCAGGTGGTCAGGGAGCTGCAGGTAAGCAAGCCCCGCAGAGGCGCCTCCCGCAGAGGCTGCCAGGCCAGCAGCGAGCCTGCGGGCGTTGGTCTCCCGAAGGTGGGAGAGGCGGGAGGAGAGGACCCATCAGGAGTCCAGCTTCCTGTGGGCTGGAGCGTGGTGCATTCTGGCCACCGGCCAGGGCCGCCTCCTGTCACTCACAGCCGTCCCCGTCAGCATGGTCCAGTTCCTGGTTCCTCACTGAGCCTGACCTGTGCGGGCGCCCCACACACATCTGCAGCCCCTCTGGCCTCTCACCCCCGTCAGTGTGGGTGTGGCCTGGGTGCCAGGCTAACCCAGGGTTAGAAGGTAAACATGTTGGCTTATGTTGGTCTCTGCCTTTTCTTTGCCGCCTGTGTACCATGAGTGGTGAGCTCTGGGCCTCTGGGCCTAGCTTTTCCCAGTGCCTCCTGGGGGATGGGAGAGCCACAGTGAATAGAATCTCATCCTCCGGATCGCCGGTACCCAGCCTGGTTCAGTCCAGGGACCGGTGGCAGGCTGTTCCTTCCTAGGACCTCAGTCAGACAGCTTGTATTCTGTTGGGAATCGGCCTCTTTATTGGCACTGCGGTTTGTCCCCAGAGGTAGTAGCATGCCACATCTGATTAAATTCACATTTCCTTTTGTTGCTGCTGTTGTTTTTAGTTTGTTAGTACTGGAGTTTGACCTCAGGGACCTTACAGGAACTCTGCTTACAGGAACTCTGCCACACTCCAGGCTTCTTGGCTTTTGTTTTTCAAATAGAGCCACGCTTTTTCCCCTGGCCAGCTTAGCATGCGATGCCTAGTTACACATCTAGCCTAGCTGGAATGATAGATGTGTACTACCATACTGCTTTTATTGGTTGAGATGGAGTCTCTTGAGCGTTTGGCTTAGGCTGCTTTTGAACCACAATCCTCCTGATCTTTGCCTCTAAAATAACATAGATTTCAGGTACGTAGGACCTTTTTCTTTGCTGACAGTGTTAGACTTGCAAGGAAAGGGGAACATGTTAGGGTAGGAAAGGCAGGAGACTAAGCGTAGAGCCTGAGCTCTGGGCAGTCTGCGCACAGTCTATTTCTGAGGTAGAGTTGGCTCTTTGGCCCAGGAACCTCCTTGGTTTCCTCCGTTTCCTCGAGCCTCAGCTGTGAGCCAGAAAGCCCCAAGAACCTTGATGGGATATTCTACGCAAAACCTTGGGAGCCGCCCTAGATGCCCCGCGGGGGCGGGGCTCGTGAGGCCAGATCCCAGTGTAGTTTGATATTCCAATATTATTTGATCACTAACATGGTATTGTTGGATTTTAAGTGATGATCAGAAAATGTTCACAACATAAACTCATAGTGCAAGATATAAGCGTCTAAGCCATATAAAACTGCCTAAGAAGAGCAGAGGACAGAATGTCTCGTCAGCGTGCTGGCGAATGACAGTTTCCTTCTTTCACAGTGAGCTCGCATTTACAACCCAAAAATGCCAGATTTCGGGAAATAATCCTTGAGCTCTCTATAAAGCTTGCACAGTGATGATGAACGTGTGTGGTGACAAGTCCTTCCCACCCCCGCTCTGCCCCGTCCACCCCGCCGCACTGGTCGGCCCCATCAGCCTTGGCTCTGGCGAGGAGGGTGGGGGTGCCGAGGGGAGAGAGGGTCTAAGGTCAGAAACCACAGCTACCACACCTGCCACAGGCCCGCTCCCATGTGAGCCAGGCGCCCAGCCTCTGTTCTGCCAGTGTTCCTTCTGTGTGCGGATGGAGGTGCCACTTTAAAGGCCTCCCTAGGGACTCCAGAGCCCTCCAGGGCCCGCACAGACCAGATTCCGCCTAAGTGTGCCTTGAAAGAAGAAGAAAAACACAGTAGCCCACCCGATGCCACGGCAGCCACACCACACCAGAGGTGATGGCCGTAGACTGAGAGGGCTCCTGCCACGCGGTGCCGCCTCTGCTGAACTTCTTTTCCCACCTCCTTCCCTGCCCCTGCTGTACAGAAGGAGTTCCCTCACCTGGGGGCGTTCTCCAGCCTGTCGCCCATCCCTGGCTTCACCAAGTGGCTTCTGGGGCTCCTGAGCCCGCAAACAAAGGAGCACGGGAGGAACGAACTGTTCACAGACTCGGAGTCCAGGGACATCGCCGAAGCCACGGGCGGCCCCGCTCACGAGACCCTCAAAACCTACCTGAGCAGCAATGAGTGGGTGAAGTCGGAGAAGCTGGTTTGCGCGCTGCAGGCGCCCCTCATGAGGCTGTGTGCCTGGTACCTGTACGGTGAGAAGCACCGCGGCTACGCCCTGAACCCTGTGGCCAACTTCCACCTGCAGAACGGGGCCGTGCTGTGGCGCATCAACTGGATGGCGGACAGCAGTCCCAGGGGCCTTACCAGCTCCTGTGGCCTCATGGTCAACTACCGCTACTTCCTGGAGGAGACGAGCACCAACAGCGTGGCCTACCTGGGCTCCAAGACCATCAAAGCTTCCGAGCAGGTCCTGGGCCTGGTGGCCCAGTTCCAGAAGAACAGCAAGCTCTGAGCCTGCCCCCAAGGTGCCGCCCCCAGGACAGGGTTGTGTTGTGGGTGGGACCTACCCAGACCCACTTCTCACAGGCGCTGAGTGGAGGCGCAGCTGGGCTGTACCACCCTCCCTCGGCAAGGTGCTTGGCAAGGCTCTGCCGGCTGTCCCCGCCCTGGTGAAGATGCGCCCCCTGACGGGGATGGTGCCGTGCCCACGCCCCGGGGGCCCTGGGCCCTCCAGAGCCTCTGCTGCCGCCTTTGGTGCCAGGGCGTCTCAGAAGCAGGCTGCGGCCCGGGTGAGAGCAGATCTCCTGCGGGCGGACATCAGCCCGCCCTGGCTGTTCGGTCATTGTTCTCCACGCAGTACAAAAGGAAAGCTGCGTTGCCTTTTACCAGCTCACTTGCACGGCTCAGAACCGTGAAAAGTTCCAGACTGTACGTAAAGTGTAGTCAGTTAAATCAAACATGGAAGACGTGTCTGCGGGACGCCTCCGCTGGGTTTTAGGCTTTAAAATCACGGTGATTCAGGTTCATAGTGAACTAAATAGTAAAGAACAAGTTTGTTCAATAAAGTTTTCAGTGTGATTATTGGTTGTAAGTTTCGAGTTGTTGTAAGGCTGGAATCGGCTCTGAGATGTCTGCCGGGCCATTCCCCAGCCCTCCTGTGCTGATGGGGCCGGGGAATGTGCCCCGAGAAGAGATGCAGAGATGCCGGCACTGCTCTCGGGAAGAGAAGTGTGCACACGTGTGCTATCTGACCCCATCTGTGGTCACGTGTGGGTAGGTGTGTGTATTTGTTAGTGTGTGCACGGCACTGTGTCTGTATATAAGTGTGTGTGTGTCTGCTGGCAGATACATTGTCTGCATTTATCTTGGGCTGGTTCTGTGTGTGTGTGCGTGCGTGTCCTGCATCAGAGCACGTGCACACAGGCCCCTTGCCCTTCCTGCCCTCCATTCTCCCAGGCTCCTGTGGCCTGCTGGCTATGGTGACGCAGCCTGGGGGGTTGACCCAGGGGAAGTGGTTTGGGGCCTCTGCCCTGCTTCACGCTGCTCCTGTGCCTGGCGCTAAGGAAGTTTTGCAGGAATGGCAGCCCCATCGCCTTCCAGACCCCCTCCCCCCAAAATGCAAAGTTCATTCACCATCTTCCTTCTCTAGGCTTTTGGCATAGGTCTCAAAGACCAATGGCCCTCTGTGTGTCCCCCGCCCACCTCTAGAATGCCCTGGGTCCATGCTGAGTCCTGGGACTGCTCCGGGCAGCTTGAGCGCACCGGCTGCTTCCCATGGCCGGGACCTGGGTGCGGACGAGAAGGTCGAGGGCTGTGGCACTCAGGGACTTGGGGGCGCTGCAAGTCTCTCTGAGCAGCTCCTGAAAGGGGTCTACCCCGTGGGGCTGAGACCCTCAGTTGTACGGTGCCTGCGCGGTGCTCTGCTGATCCTGGCACTGCCGCAGCGACGTATGTGGAACATGCCCGGCGCACAGGGCTCTGCTCTTCAGGGCCTCTCAGACCCACAGCCACTCCCAAGACTGCCTAGCAGCAGGGCCCTGGGGCCTGGCCAGAGCCCCACCTGTCCCGACCCCCAGCCCCGCTTATCTGGGAGTCCGGCCGTGGTGTCTGGCAAGGGAGCACCGCTGTGAGCACCGGGAGGAGCCGGTCTGCACCGGTGGCAGGGCCCGTGCCATGCCTGCCCGGGCCAGGTCCACCCAAGCTGGGCTGTCTCTGCAGGGGTGGCCAGAGCAGCCTTTACGCCACGGGGGCCTGGTTTGCTCAGGCCTATGCAGCCCCCAGCCGCCCCTGACCCCAGCTCCATCCCTGCTTGGGATGAAATGGGAGTGAAAAGACCTTTTCCAGCCACCCACCCCCGCCTCTCAAAGCTGTGCCTTATCCCGCACCCCTGGACCTCCTGACTGCACACCGGTCTCGGCCCTGCATGTGCTTGGCTCCGGTCGCTGCCTGCATGGGCACGTCTCCGGCCCTGGCTGTCACTCCCGGCTCGGTCCCCTCTGTTGCCCCTAGGTGACGCTGCTGCATTTGCCCCTGACCTGCAGGCCAGCAGGGAAGCCCAGGCCTGAGGCCTGTGCTGGAAGGGGCGCGGGGGTGGGGGGGGAAGATGGCGGGGGGGGGGGAGAAGAGCCAGCTGGTGCAGGATGCCAGGGCTACCCATGCCCGCCGCCTCCCCTCCTCCCACAGCTCAGGCCTCTCTTTCCCCTTCCCCCCCCCCCCCATCCTGCGCCGGGCTGCCCACAGTGGAGTTCTCTGGTCCGTGCCAGGGCCATCTCTGGGGCTGTGGATACCTAAGGCCTCAGCTGTGGGGATGGGTGGCCGTGAGGGGGCCTGCCCTCACTGACCAGGCACCCGTGCAGGACTTTGTGATGCAACAAACAGGCCGTCCTGGCCCCTTGTCTCCCGGCTCCCCTGCCATCCAATTGGGGGGGGGGGGAGTGTCCCCTGGGGGACGGCCAGCTCCACTGCACCTGCTCCTCCCCCACCAGCTGGTCACCTCTGCCGCCTCGCCACACCCGGCCGTCCATCATCAGGTGAGGCGGCCGGGGGCCGGGGAGGGGCCGGGGAGGGGGGCGGCCGGCTCCCTGGTCCTGGAAGGAGGAAGGCTGTCTGTGGTCTCCGGGGAGCTGGCAGGCTGGCTTGCTCCTCGTGGGGTCTCTGTGAGTGCTGTGGCCAGGACCTTGGTCTCCCAGGCTGTGAAACGGGCTCTCCCGGAGAGTGCACGACTCGTGGAGGCCCCGCACGCCTGATGGTCAGCCAGCACCTGGGCCTTGTCCGCGGGCCCTGGACCCGGGCCCAGGCTCTCCTCCGGGGCCCTGGCAACCCTGCTCCTCCGTGGAGGGCCGGCCCCTGAACCCTGGCGGCCACAACCGTTCCTTTGGCTCTTGGTGCTCGCCGGCTCCATTGGCACGGGGGTCCGCTCAGGCAGGGCCTGTGAGGCTCACCCTGGGATGACCTCCTGGCCACCCCACTGCCTGCCACAGTGGACGCTGCGCCCCTGGCCCCTCAGCTCGAGTGCCTCCCTCGCGCCCTTCTCTGGGCAGCTCACTCCCATGTGGCGCTTCGCGCTGTGCGCCGTCTCCTTGCGGTGACCCCCTTGGGGCTGGCCTAGCCACCCGTCCACCGCCATGGGCAGGTGTGGTCATGTGGCCCCCGCCAGCCAGTTTGCGCCTTCCCCCATCCCTGCAAAATCCACCACACACACACACACACACACACACACACACACACACACACACCAGCTCTGGCCAGGGCCTAACAACCGCTCGGGGGACTGTGGTCCCCTTATGCCTTCCTTTGCTCAAGGTCACCTGTCTTGTGGTGTCCGAATCTTTCCTTCAGAGAAGAAACAGACATAAAAATGTGTGGCCATGGGGGTGTGGCTCACACCTGTCATCCTAGCTACTCAGGAGGCTGAGATCTGAGGATCCCGGTTCAAAGGCAGGAAAGTCCATGAGATTCTTATCTCCAGTAAACCACTAGAAAACCGGAAGTGGTGCTGTGGCTCAAGCAGTAGAGTGCTCGCCTTGAGCTGAAGAGCGCAGGGACAGCGCCCAGGCCCAGAGTTCAGGCCCCACGACCGACAAAACAACAACAAAAAGTATGGCCTGCCTCCTGGACCGCCCAGGCCATGGGACAAAGGGAGAGCTGCTGGAGGGAGCCAGGACTCACCCCATCCCAGATAGGGACAGAGCCAGACGGTGCCAGCCTGGCCCGGGCTGAGCTCCAGTAGCCAGGAAGGATTGCGAAGGGTTTAGATGTGTGAGTCCGACCAAGCAGTCCTGCCGTGAAGGGGTTAACAGGCTGCTAGAGCAGGACAGGCCCCTCTCCACACTGGCTAGCTGTCGCAGGACCATTTGTGGCATCACCCCTCCGTAGGACGGAAGGGAGAGTGGCCGTGCCCACACGGTGCCCACTCTGCCTCCCACAGCTCACTTGAAGTTGGCCATGCTGTGTGCATCTTCAGGCTTTGCACACAGCCCCTGAGAGCTGGCTGTCAGACCTGACCGCCCCTCCCAGCCCTGTCCACCCTCCCCTCCCGCCTCCTCCCTCGGGCTGCCCCCCCCACAGCCCTGTCCACCCTCTCCTCCCGCCTCCTCCCTCGGGCTGGCCCCTCCCAGCCCTGTCTACCCTCCCCTCCTGCCTCCCCCCTCGGGCTGCCCCCTCCAGAGCAAACCCCTGCCAGAAGTCAGGCTGCCAGGACTTGGGAGCAGCGACCAGCTCAGCCTCTGGGAAGGAGGGAGAGAGTCGGTAGGCGGGCTGAGAGTCAGGATCACAGCCTCCACTGTCGGCGAGCAGGCTCCTGCACAGGAGCCTGGCACTGTGCACATCGCGACCTGCAGCCCGGGAGCCAGCCCCACACACTTCTCTAGAGTAAGGACAACGTACTTGTGCTCAAGGAGCGTCACCTTCCGCTCAGGCTGCCGCCCGGCCGGCAGGCCTCCCCCCGAGTGCATCCCAAGACCAGGGCCCAGCTGAGCGCCTGCGGCTCGTGCCTGTCAGATACTCGGGAGGCTGTGATCTGAGGATCACAGTTCAAAGCCAGCCAGTACCAAAAGAACAGAAGTGATTGTGTGGCTCAAGCGGTAGAACTCCAGCCTTGAGCAACAAAGCTAAGGAACAGTGTTCAGGCCCCAGTACCCCCCCACACACACACACCCAGCGGCCTTGTGAGTGGCCACACACACACCCAGCAGCTTTGTGAGTGGCCCAGGCCAGGGCCGGGGCTGGTTGCACTTCAAGGATGTGCTGACATCCTGAACATCAAGGACACCTTGCTGAGCACAGGAAGAAATCAGGCATTTACACACACAGCTGTCCGGGCCCAGGAAGGAAGCAGGAAGCGAGAAAAGTTCTGGATGGTAGAGGTCCAGGTACAGGCCGAGGAAGAGGCCAGATGTCAAGACATAGGGACTTGGGCCCAAGAGGCTGAACAAGGTCTGGAATGCGGCTGCGTCTCAGAGACAACACCAGGGGAAAGAATGCAGCCGGAACATTCTCCGTGATTCCATGTACGCCGGCATCAGGAACAGGCAAAAACAATGGACAGGGCCAAAAACCAGGAAAGAGAAGAAAAAACCCAGAGAGAGGCCTGACGGAGGTCCCCAGGGGTCCGGGCAGGTCCCAAGAGGTCCCAGCAGGTCCCAGGGGTCCGGCAGGTCCTCAGAAGTCCGGGCAGGCCCCGTGTCTATCCAGGCCACATTTGTAGAGCTGTACTTGTGCACTTTGCCACATGGGACTTAGGCCTTGGCATGTGCCCACAGGGCACAGTCTCACTGCCCTGTATTTCATTCTGGGCCAGTACTAGGGCTTGAACTCAAGGACCGGGCACAGTCCCTTAGCTTTTTTACTCTGTTCTGGCTTTTGGGCAGTTAATTGTAGATCACGGGCTTTGAACTGAGTGAGATCCTCAGATCTCAGTCTCCTGAGTAGCTAGGATCACAGGCGTGAGCCACTGCGTCGGCTCTGGCCTGTTTCTGCTGCATGTCTCTGCGGGCCTGCGGTGGGTCCCGCTTGGCTCTGGGGACATGGCTGGCGATAACAGCTTGCCACCCCTGCCCTGACCACACAGCGCCCTCCGCGGC